CACCACTGGTCCCAGTTCCTGGCATATAGTAAGTCGTTAATAAATATTTTCATATAAATAAATGTTTAGTACTGATCTCTTTTCCCTAAAAACTAGTTCTTAATTTTTTGATTACTTGCTGAGCATTTCCACCAGGTATTCCTTTTAGCTCCTCAAAATCAATTTGCTCAGTTAAACAAACACTGAGATTCTGGCTAACACTGTATAGGACCTGAGGATATATTTACTCTAAATAACAGAAAACACAATAGTAAGTGCATATGGTTTTAATCCTTGTGACTTAGGGCAGCACTCTGCAGTAAGTTAAGTTCTATTTTTAACTTTTTGTTGAAACTCCACACTGTTTTCCACAGTGGCTGCACCAGTTTGCATTCCTACAAACAATGCAACTTACCAACAAGTGATTCTTTTTTAAGCAAAGATGAAAATGATGAATTTTTCCTGGTGACTTGAGGTGTTTACCTTGTTAGAGAAATGAATGCTAGTTTCTCTTAAAAAACATGCAACTATTCAGTAATAGAATTATATATGAGACAGAGGTAGCACAAAGGGAATGATTAACTTGGCAGGAGGTGGGGAGTTGGGGAATGTGGTCAGAAAAGACGGTTTGCAGGAGGAGACCATCAAAGCTTTATTTTAAAGGATGAACTGAGTGGGGAGTGAGGATATTAGGGGAGAAAGGGGTTGGTATTTCAGGTAGAAGGAATAGAATATTCTAGGGAAGACCACAGAGGGGGAATATCAGTGTGTATTTATCTCCTAGGGCAGAGGTGGAATATGTCTTTTCCAGGAGAGGAGTGCCAGGGTAGGAATTCAGAGAGGTAGGCAGGGCTTATGTCAGAACTAGCTTTGTGGAAGGTGCTTCACATCGGATTTGGAATTTACCTTGGTGATTAGGAACTAGTGAGGAATCAGTCATCTGCATCTAATTATCTTCCCTGGCAAGAATGTTCCACTTCTGTGCTCCTGACTTCAGGTAACTAATGTCATCCTCTCAGGCACTCAACCAGGAAATATTGAAGTAAATTTAAAACTTTCCTTTCCATTAAATAACAATCTCACCATCCCCATCCAATTTGAACCCACAAAGTGTTTTCCTTCCTGTTTGCTTGTGCTGCCTGACTCAGGTGCTTACAACCTTTCACCTAGATTATTTCAAGAGTGTTCAGACTGGATTCTCTGCTTGGTATTTCTTCCTGCAATCCATCCTACACGCTGCCACTGGCATGGTCTTTTTAAATAAAAGCTGAGATCATAACTCTTCCCCCAAACCTGGACTCCTCCCTCTTACATGCAGAATAAAATTCTACCTGGTTGAATGGGTGTTTTAGATCTTCCACCTTGACTTCCATTAAACATTTCAAGCTTTTTTCTTATTTCACACCCTTTCATGAACCTCCACCCAACACCAGACTTAATCATCTTGCTTTGTGCCTTCTTGTCTTTGTATCTTTGCTTCTGTTATATCTTCTCCTTTTTAAAAAAGTTTATTTATTTTGAGAGAGAGAGACGTAAGAGGGGCAGAGAGAGAAGGAGAGAGAGAGAATCCCAAGCAGGCACTGTGCCATCGACGCAAGAGCCTGAGGCAAGGCTCAAACTTACAAACTGTGAAGTCATGACCTGAGCTGAAACCAAGAGTCGGACGCTTAATCCACTGAGCCACCCAGGCAGTTCTTCTCCTAAAGCCCCTTCCTTCCATCTGTTTTTCAAGGCTTGGCCCCAATCACATCAGCTGCATAACAAATTACCCAAACTTAGTGGCATAAAACAATGGTAAACATTTATTGTCTCTCACAGTTTTTATGGGTTATTTTGGAGCATCTTGGTGTAGCGTTCTGGCTCTGGATCGTTCATAAGGCTGCATTCACCCGTGGGGGTGGAAGATTCTGCTTCCAAGGCTGGTAAGCAGGTACTGGCTCTTGGTGGGAATCCATAATTCTTCTCTAGAGCTGTTTGAGTGTGCTTCATAGTTTCCCTGAGAGCAAGCAATCCAAGAGACCAAGGTGGAAGCCACAATGCCTTTTATGATCTGGTCTCAGGAGTCACATGCTGTCACCTTCACCACATTCATTCTGTCACAAAGACTAATCCTGATGTGAGGGAGATTACACAAGGGCATGAATACTGGAAAGCAAGGATCATTGGGGATGATAATGGAGGATGGCTAACATAACAACTCTTCAAGAGGCTTTCCAGATTCTCTAACTCCCTGTGCCCTTCTTTTCTCTGTCCGCTATCCTGTGCATACCAAATTGCCTGATTGTTAACGGAGATGTAAAAATCAGAGCTCTTGGATAGCTTCCAATAAAATCACATTTTTCTTAATTATTAACTATTATAAAGTGTGGACCTGAAAAATTGCTTTGGTTAATTATCAGAGGGCATGTACTGAGGAAATTTGTTCTGTAAAATCTTAAGTTGTCAGAAACTCTGTTGTTTCAAACTCATATTAGTGAGAGAGAGGGAGATGTAAACCATCGAAGTAAGTCACTTTGACTTGGAGAAGCTGCCTCTGAGTTTCAGAAAAGGGGTTTTTGGACACAACATTCTACATTGCTCTTAAATTTAAGTTACTAAGGGAATAGAACCCAGAGTAGACTTCTCAACTCAGGTCTGATTATTAACTCTTTATATACAGATCTGATTTGCTCTGAGTCTATTAAATACTGTTTCATTTAGATTTTATCTAAACTCCTTTCTTCTAATAGTATAATGACCCCCCATTTCTTCCTTTTTTTTTTTGGAGACACACCCGTAATTCCTCTGCTGTGTGGCATCCTCTCTGTAGCAAGTTAATAAACTTAACTTTGTTGGGTTACAGGTTTGTCCTTTGTGGTTTTACCTGATGGGCTTTATGAACAGCTAAAATTATTTGAACACACATTAACTAATTTCATTTTTTAAGAATCGCTTATGCTTTTTGAACAAGGGTACCTTTTAGAATATCTTGCCCAATGAGTCATTTTTATCTTTCCTCTGATCTGTAGTCTATTTCCTAAATATATCTTTCCTCTAAACTTGCATGCCCTTCCTTCATTGCTACAGACTTCAAGATAATATGTCACTTTCTCTCATGGTTCCTAACACTTTTATATTACTGTGCAATTTATTGGTGAATTAATAATATTCCCTCTTGTCCTCTTGCATGGCTCTTTCTCTGGTCCTTTAGGATTCAGCTACAAAATCATTTTCTGTCAAGCCCTAATTGAAAATCCTAGTCAAAACTAAACATTTTCTTTTTTCATGCTGTCATAGTGCTTTGTCCATACCTTTAGTGTGACACTTACATATTTATAATTTTTTTCAGGGGCACCTGGTGTCTCAGTCGGTTAAGCATCCAACATCAGCTCAGGTCATGATCTCACCGTTTGTGGGTTCGAACCCCACGTCAGGCTCTGTGCTGACAGCTGAGGGTCTAGAGCCTGCTTCCGATTCTGTCTCCAACTCTGTCTGCCCTCTCCTGTTCACACTCTGTCTCTCTCTCTCTCTCAAAAATAAATGAAACATTAAAAAAGATTAAAAAAAATTTTTTTTTCATATTTTTTCCTCCTCTACCAGCCTTTGGAGAACAGGGATTGTGATCTGTTTATCTTTGTATCCTCTGTGCATACCAAATTGCCTAATTGTTGAATGAGGTAATGAAAATGTCTACATGCCAAATGGAGAATTTAGTAGAAAACTCCACCTTCGAAAAATGTAAACAGTTACCCCCCCCCCCCTTTGTGATTCTTGTAATCTGTATTAGGTTATCTCCCAGTTTATACTGGGAAAACACCTAGGAAAAGTTTTGTGGGCTACTTTAATATGGGCTACTTTAACACGTAGGCTACTTCAATATGTGTTTTTATTATGCAAGGTTTTATGCATTTATTTTCTGACTCCAGCTTCTTCAACCGAAGACAAGGATTCACTAAGTTACTGTACATATGCCAGTCTAAATGCTAGGGATAATGATTTCTGCAGCATAGTGCCAGCCAGAAGAATGCTGTAATCTGTAATGCCCTTCTGATTCTGGGAGTAAGGCCAACGCTCCCACAACGCACAATTGTTATTTCTGAATGTCCCTTTGCAAAGAACAGTGTTTCTCAAACTTTTTGTTTGATCAGACCCACATTAAAGAAATACACTTTATCACTGCTTGGGACACATGGTTACAAGACTGGAATAAAAATTTCTCAAAACAACTCGTTTACATGTGATGCACTATGAGATTTTTCTGTCGTCTATCCTTACCGATCTCTCTCTCCAACACACATATACACACAGATGGTCTCAATCTACCAAACTGATTCCACAGTCCCCTAGAGATTATAACCCTTGGCTTAGAAAAACTGGCTTGTAAAAAGGTTCTCCATTTGTAGTCATTCTTCCCACATTTTCCTATATCTCTTCGGAGTTTCCGACGGTTATTTTCGTCTGAATAATTACGGTGCCTTCGGTTTTGTGTAAATGTTCTGTGATGGGGCCATTCCCCTTCTCCCTGCGCTCCTTTAAGAGGGTGGTAACGGCCCTTCACCGTGCAGGGGGGGAAAGGGGGAGGTGGAGTGGCAGGTCCCACCAGGTCCGGTGCAGGGCAGGCTCGCTTTTCCAGTTCTTGGGCAAGGTCGGTGTGTGCGGAGGTGGGAGTAGAGGTGAGGCAAGGGAAGCAACCAGGCCGGGGAGAACTAATGAGCACCAGACCAAGGACCCACAGCGTCTCCGCGCCGGCAATCCCGGCGACTCTGCGGGGGTCCGCGCGTGCGCAGAAAGCATCCCAGGACTGTTCCGGCCTCCGTGGCGCCCGCGCGCGCTCCCGCCGAGCTGAAGTCAGGGGTGGGCTCCAGCGCGCGGACGACGCGGCGGCGCGCGCTAGGGGGCGGTCCTGCGCGGCCGGCACCTCCCTCCCTCCGCGCGCCCCTCTCCTCCCAGTCTGCCCCGCGCTTCCTGCACTAGGGTATCCGCTGCCGCCGCCGTCGCTGCCGCCGCGTCCCCGTTCCCGGCTCGCTTGCACTGGCGGTGCTATGGCGGCCTTCAGCAAGTACTTGACGGCGCGAAACTCCACGCTGGCCGGGGCCGCGCTCCTGTTGCTTTGCCTGCTTCACAAGAGGCGCCGCGCCCTCGGCCTGCACGGGTAAGAAGGCCCCTGGCCGCGCTGCCTTCCCGGGCCCGAGCGGGCGCGCCCCGCGCGCTCTCCCTTCTCTCCTGGCGCCGGGTGGCGGGTCCCTTTGCCCGGCGGGGTCAAGCGTAGAGGCCGGCCACGGCTGCTGCCAGGTTCCAATGTCAGGGCGTCTGGGTTTCCCTGCGGCGCCGTTGTCCCCAGTGTTCCCTGCGCCCCGCACTCTGCCCCCGGGATGTGACTCCCCACACCCTCTAGCAAACCTGTGCCTCTGCCCCGGGGCCTCGTTTCCAGTGCTCTCTGTGCCTTTTCACTGCCTCCAGGAGTGTGAATCTTTCTCCAGCGCCCCCTGGCATTCTTGTGCCCCGGCCGCGAGGCTGTTGCCCCCAGCCCACCTGCTGTGCCAACTTTCTGGGTATGTTCTAGTTTTGTCATCTCATTTCCTGAGAGACCGTGGGTTTGCCTTGTGGACGTGTATGTATGATTTGAGACTGAGGATTGTACTCGCCAGGCTGGAGGCTGTTGTCTCAGTCACTTGGCTGGGGTTTGACACGATTCCCTAGTAGTTGTTGAAAGTCGTGATGATGGTTCCTGCCAACTATCCTGGGTCCATTTGGCAAGATTGCTTTTGTAAAGTGGTTTCCCCATGGAGGTGGTCAGTGAACTCCCTGGCATTTCATCCGGAAAGGCTCCAGTGGTTCCGTAGTATTTGGAACGCAAGTTTCCCTCCTCTGGCTCTTGAGGTGGAAGGTCAAAGTGTGATTTGGCTGAGGATCAAGATCCTTTTTGATTATATTCCGCTGCTTTCTCCTCGAGAGAACTTAAGGTTTAGCTTTAACTTTGGGCGATTGTAAGATAAGAGGAAGGAAAAGAGTATTGAGTTACTGTTGTGGGGTTACAGACATAATTTTTTATTAACTGGGAGACACTTGGCTTCAGCAAATGAATGAGGAAAGGTTACTTCCCAAGCTTTCTTGCCATTCATTGGATATTCCATGTTAAATCTTGGCATACCGCTTTCATGTATTTTATTTCATTCATCTCCCTGGGCAGGTATTGTTGCCTCTTGTTTTTGTTTTGCTTAAAATGTCTGACTAGTAGTAGACTTAGGACTAAATCACTAAGAAGTGACCTTCCTTTCATGAAGTGTTTACTAACGTTCTCCTAGAAGTTTTCCCATCTTACTAAGGTTTGAAGTGATGGTCTTTCTTTTCCTTTCTAAATTTGATTAACAAAGTTGAAAATGATCTGCATCTTTGTCCAGACAATACAGCCCCAATTTGCTTTTCTTCTATTCAATTTGCTTTTAAAATGATTTATTCTGGAAAATATAAACAGTTTTTTTTCTATTGGATTGTATGCTTTCTGAGCTCCCAGTTGGAAATGGAAGTTGTTATCTGGAATATGTCAAAATGTTAAATGCTATAAAATAGCGTTGAATTTTATTAGAGAAATGTTTCAGTGCATAGAACAGGTATTTTAGTGTCAGGTAGGGGATTTGAGGACAGCTCTAACAGATCTGGCTTACTTTGTTTTATCAGAGTATTACATGTGTAATGTGTTTGTAATATAGAAAAGTACACATAAGTGGAGAGCTTCAAGATTTTTACAGATAGAACTCACCCATGTAATCAGCCTTCAGATCTGTACCCAGATAAGAATATTATCAGCATCTCAGCATCTCTTCATGTCCTTTACAGTTACAGTTTAGGTGGCTCCTGATTTATAAGACCATAGATTATTGAGTAAGGAAAGTTTTATTTTATTTTATGTTATGTTATTTTATTTTACATTTACTTATTTTTTGAGAGAGAGAGAGAGAGAGAGAGAGACAGAGGGAGACACAGAATCAGAAACAGGCTCCAGGCTCTGAGCTGTCAGCACAGAGCCTGAGGCAGGGCTTGAGCCCACGTGCAGTGAGATCATGACCTGAGCCGAAGTCGGACAATTAACCGACTGAGACACCCAGGGGCCCCGAGTAAGGAAAGTTTTAAATATAATCTCCTGGGAAATAGTAGCAAAACAATACAATAGAAATGGTTTTACTGAATTTTAGGTGTTTTTATCATTTACATTTTATTGTAAAATGCGTTAAAACTATCTTTTTTGAGAAACTTAGTAAACTTTTTGGGGGATTAAATTATGCAACAGTTAATTTACTGAACAGAAGATTGTTAACCTTGTGTATTGGCATGGGTAAGGAAAATCTTTATTTTCCACATTAAATATTTTGTGGGAGGAGAATGCAAATTAAGAGCAGATAAGCATGATGTTTAAATTACTGAGATAAAGTAAGCGAATTACTTTAAAACCATTAAGAATGGCATTGAGTCTATTTTTGTAGATGTTATATTTCCAGAAACTTTTGGAGATCTTTCAGATGCTATCTTTGGCTGCACAGTTTGAAGATTAGAAGATTAGAAAATTCTGCCTTTATATTTTACTGGCTTTTCGGGCATCGTTTGTAACAGGGCTAATTAATTTTCCTATCTGGTGCTTAATTAAGGAACCTGTGGCTGCTTGACCTTTTTTCATCTGTGCTTTTATTTTTTTTTTATTAAAAAAAAAATTTTTTTTTTTTTAACATTTATTTATTTTTGAGACAGAGAGAGACAGAGCATGAGCAGAGGAGGGTCAGAGAGAGAGGGAGACACAGAATCTGAAACAGGTTCCAGGCTCCGAGCTGTCAGCCCAGAGCCCGATGCGGGGCTCGAACTCAGGGACCACGAGGTCATGACCTGAGCGGAAGTCGGACGCCCAACCGACTGAGCCACCCAGGCGCCCCTCATCTGTGCTTTTAATAATAAGTTTGTCTTAGAAGATATCCCTTAGAATCAAATAGGTAATAGAGCTAGAAAAGCCACTTTAAAAGTTATAATGTCACATTATTCCAAACATTAGGAGAACAAGTAATTTAACTTCCTGAGTTATTTTTTAGTTTTGTTAATGCAGTTTTTTCAAAGTAGGCAGAATAACTACCTATATATACACTTCACTGAAGAAGTACCATCAACATTCTGCCATTCATGTTTCATCTATAGCCCCTTGCCTCCCACTCCTTATTTTTACAGATTTTTAGGTAAATATATATATTGAACAGTATAAATCTTGCTTATACAGTTTTTACGTAAATGCAGTACAACAGTGTAACATAGCCCTATCATAAATGAGAACATTTTCATCTTCCTAGAAAGTTGCCTTGTGTTCATTCCTCACTACAGTATACTAACTTTTTTCACCTTAATTTTGCCTAGTCATACATTTTATTTTATTTATTATTTATGGGGAATAGTGGAATCTTTATTTATGGATAAAGGAGAACACATAATCAGTTGAAAGGAAGTTAATGGGTTTCAGAATGTTGTGGGATGGAGAGTGTGTGTGTGTGTGTGTGTATGTATTACACACACATTAAAAAAATGTATGACAGGGATGCCTGGGTGGCTCAGTCAGTTAAGCATCTGACTCTTGATTTTGATGCAGGTCATGATCCCATGGTTTGTGAGTTCAAGTCCGGTGTTAGACTCTGTGCTGACAGTGTGGAGCCTGCTTGGGATTCTGTCTCTCCCTTTCTCTCTGCCCCTCCCCTGCTTGCACTCTCTCTTTCTCTCTCAAACTAAATAAATAAACTTCAAAAAATATATGACATCTTAGAAAGGATACATTTTTGTTAGGGAGAAGAAATTTAAATGCAAGTTAGTTAAAAATGTAAGGTGGTTACAGAATGCATTGTACAGACAGATATGCCTTAGAAGTTCTGAGAAAGGGGAGATTAATGTGTTTGAGAAAAGTTAGGGAAGGTTTTATGAAGCTAAGCCCAGAAAGGGGGTAGGAATGGATAACTGCAGATAAATTGAACGTTAATAGCAGCCTTTATCAGATTTTTGTTGCGTTTTGTGATATGAAGATGCTTTGTGGTTCCTTTTTAATCCAGCTTCCACTGCCACCAGAACTCTTTTTAAGAAACACAAATATGATCATGTTATTCCTTCATTAAAGTCTTTTGGCTCTTCTAAAATACAAAATTCTTTTTTAAAATTAAAAAAAGTTTTTTTGATGTTTATTTTGAGAGAGAGAGAGAGAAAGAGAAAGAGAGAGAGAAAGAAAACGAGTGGGTGAGAGGCAGAGGGAGAGAGAGAATCCCAAGCAGGCTCCATGTGGTCAGTGTAGAGCCAGACTTGGGGCTCGAACCCACAAACTGTGAGATCATGGCCTGAGCTGAAGTTGGACGCTTAACCAACTGAGCCACCTAGGTGCCCCTCTAAAATGCAAAGTTCTTATCATGAGAAAATCGTGTTCATGATCTGGTTCTTTGGTAGTGCTTCTTATCCTCATCCAGCCAAATGGAATAGCAGTTCTGAGTAGGAGAGTTTGCTCAGCCTTTGCAGTTTGATTGCAATAACTGTCCTCCCCACTGCTTCTCCCCTACCCTTTGGTGTTTATTTTCTTTCAAAACTCAGTCCAGTTAACACTTTCTCTTAGGTGTTTTCTGTCTTTTCCTGATTTCCAAATTGATGTTGTCCTTTGCTCTAATGACACTCTAAGCATTTCTCGACTTTAGTAGTTAGCACTCTGCACTCTGTATTGTAGTAGTTTGTTTTCTTGGCTTCTGCCTGCATCATATTGAGTCTCTTGAGGGCATGTACTGTGTCATTCTTAAATTCCTAGTTTGCATATGTTACAGGATAGACAATTAAGTGTTTTATGGGGTACACAAATTACATAGGGTAGTTGAAGAATTTTTAAGTGTGATTGTCTGATAGACAGTTGGAGATGTAGGACCAGTAAAAACATGAGTAGAAATTACATGAGTGGGAAATTATAAGCCAATTTTAGAGGGCAGACAAAGACACCAGTTGCACTGCTGTAGTATTTTATGATCTTAAAACAAACAAACAAACAAACAAACAAAGAAAAACCCACGAAAAACAAAAACAGAACAAAGCAGTTTCTTTCCCTTCCCATGAATGCTTGTCAAGTTCAGATTTCTCATCCTGAATTTCAGAGCCCTCCCT